TGGAGAAAACCTATACATGTGTGGCAATGTGACGGAGTGAGGAATTACAGTTTCCTTTATATTGTTTATTCCTATTTAATTCTGGCAAGATGGCTCAGCTGGCAAAGGGGATTGCTGCCAAGCCTGACTACTTGAGTTCGAGTCCTGAAGCCCACGTGGTAGAAAGAGAGAACCAACTCCCCCAAGTAGACACACTGACCCCCACCTGTGTGTCATGGCGGTTGTCCCCCCCAAATAAATGTTTAAAAATGTACTCTGCTATTAATCTTATTAAAGGCGAGTGTGGCTATTTCACTAAGGATTCTGGGAACATATTGTCCAAAGCTGTGGAGGAGGATGTGTAATCTAGGCCTACCAAGACTCAGGCCTCTTCTGATTCACCTTTGTATGACTCCGTGTGGCCTTCCTTTGCCTGGCGGTTGGTGCCTGTCACCAGAGGCTTGCTAACATCTTTTGATTTTTATACCAGCATCTGAGACAGCTGCGGATTTGTACAGCAAAGGCCCGGGCAGATTTAGTTACTGGTACCCTCAGATTGAGGTTCATGTGAACAATTTTATGTTGACTTGATACAGGCTATACTCACCTGAGAGGAAGAACCCAAATTGAAAAAAAATAAAAATAAAACCTCTGTAAGATTGGACTGTAGGCAAGCCTGTAAGGTTTTTTATTAATTAATCATAGATGGGGGAGGGTCCAGCCCACTATGGTGGGAAACCCCTGGGCTGATAGTCCTGGGTTATATAAGAAAGCAGGCTGAACAAGCCAGAGGGAGCAAGGCAGTAAGCAGCATCCCTCTGTGGCCTCTGCATCAGTTCCTGCCTCCAGGTACCACCCTGCTATATGGGACTGTGAGTGACACAAACCCTGCCCCAGTGGCTTCTGGTTATAGTGTGTCATCACAGCATCAATAACCCTAACTAGACAGGAAGCAGACCCAGTGGGGAGCTGGACTTCCGCATACGCCTGACTCAGAATGCTCCCCACAGAGTGACTACCAGGCAGGCTGTGGGCTACAGACTGCCTGTGTTGTCAAATGACATATCAGTATGTTTTTACAAGGATCAGAAGGAATAGGCCGTGTGTATCTTGGCAAAGAGATCAGCTAGTTTCTGGTCTCGGTTCTTTCTATAACTGGCCTGATTTGGGCAGGATGTTGAACATCTTTGAGTCTGGGTTTGTCTAGCTTATGAAACAGTGATAACGGGGATGCTAGTGCAGGATGATAGCACTCCTAACCTCAAAATCCTAAACGGTTCAAGTTCTGAAACTTTGGGGTGCTAGGAATGGAAGCTTCTGTATCTGATCCCGTATGGCAGGCAGTTCAAACACAGTTCAGGGAATGGAGTGATGGCTCACTCAATAAAGTCCCTGCCACAGAGGCACCAGGACTCACATTCAGGTCTCCAGTACCCACGTGACAAAGCTGACTTGGTCACAGGCCTCTGTAACCCTGCCGTGACAGGGGCTGGGAGAGGTGCAGACAGGCGGATCCCTGGAGCTCGCTAGCCAGCCGGCCCAGTCAATTGATGAGTGTTGAGCTCAGTGAGAAATGATCTCTCAAAAGACCCCGCCTGGGACTCCCCCGGGTGCTCCTCTACAGCCCCTTGCACATGTGCGCACACATGTCTACACAGAACAGCTCAGTGTGTGTACCGACTCGTCAGGGACATTGTATGGAGTTGTTTTCAGACTGTGCGTGAGGAAATATGACACAGAAGGGTTTTGTGTTTAGACTGAGGTCTCCTCCCATATATATACATATATACACACATATGTGTGTATGAATATGTGCATATATGTAATACAAGTATTTCAAAGCCTTTAAACAAATGGGAAATCTGATCCTAAGCCTTCACTCACTAGGAACATGCAGGGGTAACCTGGTAGGGCTCCAGCAGCCTTGGCTAAGCCCTCCTTCATCTCATGAAGTCTTTTATATTCTTGAATCTTTACTTCTCATTCGAAAGGTCCTCAAAGCTAATGTGGAACAGGGCATTATCCAGTGTTTCCCTGCTCTCTGACCAGTGCTGACTGCTTGCTTCATTTTCTATGGTACCGAAACCATTTCTTCTCAGGTGACCTCAGTAAGCAATCCGTAGACAAGCAGATGTCATGAATGCTCTCCTGAACCGTACCTGAGGGATAAGCGTGGCGATGGGAGTAGACCTGCAGCTTCCGTGCTGGCTTTAAAGAAATCTCATGTTGCATGTAGAAACAGACATGCGTGGCAACAGGCAGAGGCATCTACAGGGGTCCAGGCTTTGAATGCTGACCTGTGGGGTATAGTGAGATCGGAGTGTGGGCACAGGATCTTCTACAATCACCCACACTTATCTTGTCTTCTAACCCGTGTTCACAACAGCCTATTAACCCCAAAGCTTGGGAGAACGTTTGGATGTGATTTCATTTGACAGTTTCCTCCTGAGCCTGTAAGGAGCCCAGACTTCCATGTCAAGGAGAGGCAGCTGTGGACCGCAAGCACATCGGTTAGCCTTTAGAAAGTCCGAATGGTTTCTGAGCCCTTCAGTTTCCCTGGCCTCAACTATCTCAGTGCCTAGCCAATACCTCCCACATCCGTTCCAATTCCTAAGTAAGTTTGACCTAAAAATTGTTTTGAACTGGATGAAACTGAAGTCTGGAGCTGAGAACAATGTGGAGAGATTTCCTAGCCTGAATTTCAAGATGAGAACGTGTATGGAGTTTGACTGATGTGCTGGATCAAATCCTCAGTCCTCTTGCACCCTAGACAAGTGCTATACCACTTGTCATTTGTGACTCCCTGTCTTTAGATTTGACTGGATCAAGCACAAAGGAGGGGGTTTAGGAAGGGTTGGCCACACAGTCACTTCTGGTGACTGCAGATCCTTGGACTCGGGTAGTGGTTGGGCACCTGTTACAGTGGACATTATTGTTCAGTGGAATATTCCAAGCAGTGTGGGTAGCAATACCACCACAACTGTGTTTTGGAATATGACTAGGCCTGGGTAAATTGAAAGCTCCAAGGGAAAGCAAGCAGTCCATCTTGTGTCTTTATTACAAGAGCCGTTCTCGCCCAAGAAGACAGGTCATGTTGAGTTTCACAGTCCATATTTGTGTGTGCTTTGGTGACAAACTGCCTGTATCAGGAGAGGAGGTGAGAACGATGTCCAGTTAATCTGTAAGCACCAGTTAGTTCCTGTGTGACTGACGTCTTCGCGACACTCTTGCTGCGATCCTCATGATGGGTCTCTCTCAAGTCTTAAAAGGTCTTAACACTAGCCACGATGTGGTGGCACCCACCTTTAACCCCAGCACTCAGAAGGCGCGGGGGGGGGACTCCTGAATCTGAGGCCAGCCTGGACTACAGAGAGAATTCTAGGACAGACAGGACCAGGGCTACACAGAGAAACCCTGTCTCGAAAAACACAACAATGAAATAAACAAATAAACAAGTCTCGACACTGGAAAGTATGTATTAAGCAAAAAACTGGTCCGGAATCTGAATTGATAGAAGAATACAGCGGTCTAGTGGGAGCCTCCAGGGATCCCTCGTTTTAGGGGATGTATGGGAGCCTGTGGTTTGTCTCAACACATCTCCTGCTTCTACTAGAATGTGAAAGTTAGTCACTAACTTCCCGACCACTGATATTTCAGTCCTGGGTACGCTTTGAATGGCTTTGTTTGCAGGCGCCCTTCTGGAGAGTCTATCAACGGCTCCTCTTAAATTTGCCCCACATCTTTTTCTTTTCTTTTTCTGAAATATTATTGACTTTTATTTTCCTGAACATAGTTTCAGAGGGTAATATTTTTGCAGAAGCAATCTACCATGGTCCAAGGGCCTGGATTCTAGTGTGCATTTGTCTCAGAGATGTGACTGCAGAGCCACTGGCTGGATCTGAATAATATTTGCCTACGACTCTGTGCTAGATGCATGTAAGGAAAAGGGCATCTTCTAACCTGGAGGGTAACCCTTGTGTGTCTCCTTAGCTTCCAACGCCTGCAGAATCCATCTCCGGATGGTTCCGAGCGGCTCTTTGCATTGTTTGAAAGGAGTTAGGACCAAATATAAATGTTCTTGCCAATGTTGCATCTGGAGAGGAATCCGTTTTTACAATTTTCTCAGCACGTTCTTGAGCACGGACTCAGGATGTTTTATAAACAGCTACCCGTGCTTTCTCTGGTGCTGCTCTTCCTCTGTTCCGGCTGCAGGAGGCAGCGTGATACAAAGAGCTTGGCATCTCCAGCTTGGCATCTCCAATTGGAAGGACTTAGATCTCATTCTGTGGTTTCTTTGCTGCCTGACCTGAGGGGCCTCTGGGAGCTCACTCCTCAGACCTTCAGGTCCCCAGGGACAGTATTAGTCCTGCTCCAATTTCCTGAACATTGTGATCATTCCTGCCCGCCAAGAGGACCCAGTCCGCTTTCAGTAAACGGTTCTTCATTTCTTAAAGCAACCAGCATTTTCTAAAAAGATCAGATTATTGCCATCAGCAGTGTTCACAGTATTCACAAACTAGACACATCCTAGTGGTCTCAGGACGAGAGTGGATGCGCAGACGGTAGCGTGGCCACGCAGTGGGGTGCAAAGCCTACTCACCTACACGAGGATACACATCTACTGACCTGTGTGAGAACGGGGGTAACTCAGAGATGTTACGTTGAGCAAAAGAAGCCAGCTACAGATCAGAGCCTACTGTCTCTTTCTCTGTAAAGTTCCCCAGCAGGCAAAACTTCCTTCTGAGGATGGAAATCATCAGGGCTGTGATTTCCTCTGATGGGGAGGGGTCTTGCCTGGATCAGGGATACAGAGAACCTTTAGGAGTAAAAGAAGGGTCATAAGTCTTGATGGCATATCATTTATATCAGTGTATACATTTACTGAAATAAGTTGAACCACACAATAAGAATTGGGTACTTATTTTTTTACAAATTATACTTTAATTTGAAGAAAAATTAGTCTCTCATCCATTGCATCTTTAATTTTCTAATGACCTTTTTTTGGGGGGGATGCTTCTCAGGATGCTGTTACCATCTGCACCCTGGGGATCGGGACAGCCTTTGGAGAGTCCATACTGGACAACACGCCCCGCCATGCGACCATCGTTACCAGAGAGAGCAGTGAACTCCTCCGCATTGAGCAGGACGACTTCAAGACTCTATGGGAGGTGAGCCCCAAGGCTTCCTGTCAATTAAAGCATTTGAGGGAGTGAGAAAGAGAGGGAGGGAGGGAGGGAGAGAGCACTGCCGCGTGGATAATGGCCAAACAGTCAAGCCTTAATGTGTGCTGTTCTGAGCCGGTGGATGGAACTTAATTTTCAAAACTTGTTTTTCAAATGAGTGAGTGAAAAAGCCATTTTGACACGAGACATCCTTTTTTTTTTTTTTTGGTTGCTAATTTAGTGCTTGCTCGATTTTCTGTGGTTTGACATACCTTATAATTATTTCTTGAATGACCATAGAGTGTTTTATGAATTTTCTCTTTCCTATTCCACGGATGTATTCTTAGCCAGGGAACAAAATACTTTGACATTTTCTTTTGCATTTTAAAAATCATTATTGACACATTCCCGGAGAAAGTGGAATGAATGGGGTTAACATCTGGTTCATTTAAATGCTTTTAAAAATGATGCGCTCTGTAATAAGGTAAGGAAAATGGGGGGCCGTAAAGATGTCTGGTTCCTTGCCAGCTTCAGAATGCATAGGTGGCACAGCAGCGGATGAATGCCGCTGGGCCTGTTGGCGTGTGCATTTGCCGACGCTCCCCAGCGTCCCTTAGGGCACAGTGCTCATTTACAGGAAGTGCGAGGAATACATCATCTTATATGCAGTCATGGCAGGTAGAGCATTGATAAAGGCCTGGCCGAGCCTCGCATCTTTTTATGCTCTCGTTCCTTTTCAGCTCCTTTAGCTTTGGATTTTAACCTGTGGTGGCTCCTTGTCTTTGTCCCTGGCTCAGTATGTCCGGAAGTCCACCCGTCAAGCTGGCAGGCTTTGCCACTTGTCCCAGTGTGGCTGAGATTCCGAACTTGATCCGAAAAGGAATTTTGTGTAATCAAATAGCTTCCTCCCGAGACAAACAAATGACTGGCTCCTTGCGGGGCCCAGCCTGCAGGTGAGCGAGCCACGACGCTCAACCTTAAAAGTCAGGCAGAAGCTTTGGAAGGTCTTGCTGGGGGAGCCTGTTACCTTTATTCTCGGCGGCCGTGAATAAATTGTGGGGTTGCTTGTTTGAAATGTTTCTTTTAGAAAATATTAAAGAGCTCCAACGGCTCTGTAAAGTTCAGAGACAAAGCTTGGGTATTTTAGGAAGGAAAAGTGAAAAGTCAGTTTATGCGGGGTATGTGGGCAAAGGCGCTCTGTCAATCGGAAGGAACCAGGTTCCAGGCAAATGAGCGGATTGTTTTTGTGATGGGGATTTGGGAACTGACTTAAGAAAGGAAGCCGTGGCTAAAGGTACCATGTACCACGGTAGCCGTTCTGTTTGTGGCCAGTCTGGGAGGGGAGCTTTGGAGAAATACAGAATACCTGTTTAAGTCAGGGGCCTACAGGGTTGCGAGGGAAGTTCTTGAGAAGTCGCTGCCTAAGAACGTTAAAACAATCTGTAGGACTGTTCTTCAGATAAAATAATAATACAAGGAGTATTCGCTGCTGGACATGTAGCCCAGCAGTTAACCCAAAGCTGAATTTGCTTCATCTTGCTTTTCTTCTGGGCCTCTTTAATGTTATTTATGACATTTTATCCCGAGTACTGAATGTGTATCTCAAGGAAATTAGCATCTTGCCACAACCCATAGTGCCATTATGTGTTATGTACTTACAGAGTGAACACCTAGTATCTCGAAATCATCTGATAACTGGTGTAGACTTCATGTTTCCCCAGTTGTTCCAAAAATATGTTTTGTAGATGTGTATTTTTTTTCAGACCAGGTCCAGGTGAAAATCAAAACAAAGCGTGTTATATTTGACTGTGATATTAAAACTTTCTCTGTGTCTCTCTCTGTCTCGTCTCCCCTCCTTTCTTTCCCACCTCCTCTTGTCACTGACTTCTTTAAAAGGCCTGGTCAATTTCCTCTCACCCCAAATTTGTCTGACCATTCTCATGTTATCTTCGTTGATGCTCTGCCCAGGATTTTGGTAAAGAGATGCTCGGGCTAAAAGTTAACCCAGTCAAGTCAAATATTTTGTTTCCCAGAAAATGTGCTGGGGTTGCTGATGGATGCGGTAAGGAGGCTGGTCACGGCTATCTCCTGTTGGCCACGTGTCTGTCGCTTGGGTAGCTTCCATCTACATACCTCAGGCTGCTTCCTGTTGGTACGCCTCTCAGGGAGGAATTGTTAAATGGGAGCACTAACCCCGAGGGCTGTCATGGCTGTGCCAAAGCTTTGCTTGTGTCTTCCAGTTCTGTGGGTCACCCCTCATTGGTAGCTTGAGAGCCCGTCTTCTGTCTTCTGATCGCTCTAGTCCCCCAGGATGGGGACAAAATCCAGAAAGACTTTCCGAGTTGAAAGGAGGGGATGTTTTTATTATTTATTTATTTATTTATTTTTTTGATTTTTCGAGACAGGGTTTCTCCGTAGCTTTTTGGTTCCTGTTCTGGAACTAGCTCTTGTAGACCAGGCTGGCCTCGAACTCACAGAGATCCGCCTGCCTCTGCCTCCCGAGTGCTGGGATTAAAGGTGTGCGCCACCACCGCCCGGCGAGGGGATGTTTTTAATCCCGACTTCTTTTACAGGTGGGAGACCAGAAACTTGTACCCAGAGGACACAGTCAGCCGCTTCCTGCTCATGTAGCTACACTCAGGGTGCGAGCGAGGTGTTCAGTCAGTGCTTAAACCACCTGAAGTGAAATTCAATAAGCCTCTCGTCTGTTAACCAAGGTTTTATTAAAGGGTATCCATGTGCAGACACACTGCCTATAATCCCGGGAAATCGTACAAGTCTAAAGTAGCTTCTCAGGAAAGCTTAAACCATGCTCACCTTAAGGCTTATTTATTCAACAAATGCTAAGCAGTTCCCCTGTGTCAGGCATCAGTGAACAAGACTGGCAGGATTCTGTTCTCAGAGCAGGGGCTGCCACTTCGCCATTTGGAGGAGACGGCAAATCCATCAACTGTGCCATTTCAGAATAGGGCGCATCGTTTTCGATACGCTTTGCTTCTATTCCCTGAATATCGGGATATACCAGTGGCAAATACAGCACTCTCTGCGAGTGAAACATTTGATAACCAAATAGTTTTCTTCTTGATTATGTCAAACCATTCAGTTTATAATTTAGTCATCCAGTCACCCCTTGTAAGTGGCTCTGTTATCCAGCATCATACTGAACCCCAAGTTGGATCTGTTAGAAAACACTTGAGGAAGGAGTCCAGGATGCAAGTGGGGGGTGTCGCTGACCTGCGAGTCTCCGAGAAGGTATCACCAGGTCCAGAGCACAGAGCTGAGGTGAGGTCAGACGTTCCAGGTCTTAAAAATGAGAGAACCTCAGTCTGGCTCCATATATGCATGTTCGTCCCTCTCATCTGGTCACTGGGAGGAGGGGAGATGCCACACGGGTGGTCTGTTTTATGGTGAGAAGCCTTATATGTAGCTTGTGGTCCTTAGATTATCTGTTAACTCCGCTCAGAGGGGCTGTAGGAACTGAAACTGTGATTCTCAGTCATCAGCAGCCGGCACAGCCTGAGAAGCAGTGCAAGCAGCTGCATCCTGGGATTTGAGCCGAGGTAGGAAGTCCCCACCCTTCCCAGGTGGAAGGTGGGTCCCCCAGGCTCCTGCAGACACTCACTCAAGGATCCTGGGAGGTTTTGGGATCCTGCTCAATTCCCCTGTGAGGGCGCCTGGCTTTGTGTGGTCTCTTATGTTCTAAATCATATAGGCAGCTCTGGGATATTTTAAAATTGCCATGCTGTGACCAGAAATGTTTTGCAACATCTAACCAAGGCAACAGCTCGGAAGCTTCATAGTATTCCGTCTTAGGTCTTCCTAAGGAAAAGTAATTCTCCTTTCTTCCAATGTTTTAGCTTCCAGTTTATGGTTTGATTTGAGGATGCTGGGTTGGTCCATTGGAAAGTCATTCTTGCTTTCTTAGCTGAAGGGAATTGTGGGAAATTTACTTCAAGTGGGTCAATAATGCGCCCTCTTCTCATGCTTCTTTGACACCTTAGCCAAGGTCTAAAACGTCCGAGTCTCCAGTCATATCTCAAAGGGAAAGCTAGGCAAAGAGGGATACAGGATTGGAGTGACAGAAGACAGTGAGATGTCTGAATTCCATTCAGGAGAAAATTAATTTGGAAGTCTTGGGCAGCCACTTTTAGTACTTGAGACAACTATAATTTATAACTTAAACTCCTTTACACCGGTGGCATTTTAGGCTCTGTAAGGAAGCTAAATGGCAAAGCAGTTAAGTGGAGGTTTGGGAGTTTAAACCCATTATTAATAGTTGATCCAAGATTATAGGTATTTATGATGGATGGTGGCTCTTGGAATAAATATAAAACTGATTTATTATCCAGTTCTATGAATCTCTTAGTGCTCAGTTTCTGATGAGAACACTGTTCTCAACCTTCCCAATGCTGCAATCCTTTAACACAGTTCCTCATGCTGTGGTGACCCCAACCATAAAATTACTTCATTGCTACTCTGTAGCTGTAATTTTCCTATTGTTATAAATTATAATATAAACATCTATGTTTTTGGGTGTTTTAGGTAACCCTGTGAGAAGGTTCTTTGAATCCCAAAGGGTCACAACCCGCAGGTTGAGAGCCGCTGGTTTCGAAGAACAATGGTGGTAGGCTGTTATTTCATTTTCCTCTTTGTATTTAATATTATATTTCCATGAGAATGCTTTGGGGTCTGTTTTGAGATCTCTCCAAAGCCATGAGTGAGGTGTATGTGTTTGGAGAAGTAGGCGAGAGAGGCCATCTTGATTGGATTTGGGAAAGATGTCAGCGGACACCCTAGATCCGGCAGTCTATCACTCTTACTAACCTTTCAGGAGCAGAAACATCACTCTGGAACTGTTCCTTCTACCGTGAGTCATATCTGAGCATTTTCAAGTAATATATGTTTATGAATACATCTTTGAAAATTTAAAGATGGCAATGAGATCATAGCATTTAAACATAAAGGCAGTATTTTAAACTTATAGATTGGGCCTTCTCGATGAAAGC